CCATATCAATCAACTCGCTGCCCCATATTAGATATCCTACCCCCATCAGTACCCTTAAGATCCATTCCTGCATGTGCTCCCCTAGGTCCTGTGGTTAGACCTGTCCTGCAACGTTTTGGGGGGACTGAACTATTTCCTCCTAGATCACGGATTGTGATTCACTGCTGAGGCTAGGCTGAGACCCAATTCTAGTTGCTGGTCCGGAGGCAACGAGCGGAGGGGATCTCAAGAGAGTGATTAGCATCATTTCATAAGACACTGAGCCCAGGTGAGATCTCTGCATGGCCTCCAGGCAAAACGAGGCTACTTTTCTTTATCAAGGGGGAAGGGAGCACCAGCTGCTGGCCAGGAGGATTCAGGGGCTCTAGAGCTCCAGATTCTTAGGTATGTCCACCCAAACATCCCCATGATCCCCTCAGGATCCTATCCTCCCTCGCTACCCCTCCAACCCCTGGTTGGATGCCCTGACTTTATAGCACAGGAGAATTGTTGAGGAAGATGGGTCTTGTTTGCAACTCTGCTGCCCTTTCGATTCCTTCGTGGGCCTCATTGTCAGCATGCTCTGCTTCCTTATGTTGCTTCAGGAGACTTTCTGGCTTTCATATCATGGGCTTCGTTGACGGGGCTCACCTGAGCCTGATGTTTTTTCTGGAAAGTTTCTAAAGCAGGTATAGAAAAATAGCCACCTCCATAATCCTTGTAGCTACAGCTGCCTTCCTTTCGAGTGCCAAAGCCACTTCATAAGCCCAGCTCTCCCTTCAACTTCTATCTCATTCCAATCTACCAAAGGTAAGAGTCTTACACTCCGGGACCAGAGGGGATAACACCAGTCCACTGGCCAATGGTGGTGAGAGGTCACATAGACTCCTATTCCCACAGTCTCCCTTCTAGGGCTACTTCCCACTGTTTTAGCTTGCATTCCCGTAAAAGCAGAGCCTGAGCCTAGAACGTGGGTGCAGCTCATTTTGGTAGATGAATCCAGGAAATGGGAGAGAGGGAGTGAGGAGAATGACACAGGGCAGAAGGAAAATTCAACACTGTTTATTTTGGCTCCTGTCCCTTATGGGCTGAAGGCATTCACTCACCGCACTCCAGCCTAGGCCTGCTGGGTTGAGAGAGCTCCTGAGGCTGAGGAGAAAGCCATAGTAGATGCTGGAAATGAGGCACTGCCAGTGTCCACGGAGTCATCTACCCTAGCTGGGGTCAGAGTGGGCTGATCAGGCAGAACCAAAAGTTCCAAAACATCTAGTACACCTTCCTTGCCTTAGAGGGGATCAGAAATCTGGGACAATGCCAAAGGCCAAACACCATTGGCTCCCTGGGACTCAGGTGTCTGCCTCTGTAGACCTCTGTGCATTCTAGAAATATGTGGAGCAGGCCCACTCAGTGTTCTACACTGAGATACAGGAAAAAAACAATGAAAAGCCCTACAGAGCATACGTCCTAGTGGTGCGGGATAGGGGTGTGGAGGAGACTGACAATAAAACAGACAGCATGCCACGGTTACAGATGTTAGAAAACAAAACAGGAAAGGAGGATCCGTTGTCCGGCTTTGGTTGGGATGGGGGAGAAGACGGACTCCTTTAAACAGAGTCATTAGGGAAAACCTCATTGAAAAGGTGACACTGAAGCAGACACCTGAAGGAAGTGAAGAGTGAGTAAAATCAGCCAGACACTGAGGAATGCGGAGGGAGGAGGGAAATAGTGCCTAGGAGCTCGCAGTGCCTTGGAAGCCAGCAGAAGACAGTGTTTCCAAGAGGAGGAGCAGGAAATGCGGCTGATGGACCAAGACGGAGGATGGAGAATTGGCCAAAGTCACTAACACTGGAAGATGATGGCATCTGTGAGGAGAGCAGGCTGGGGGGAGTGGAGGGTGAGACACCTAAACTAGAGAAGGATTAAGAGCAAAGAGGGAGGGGAGGAATTGAGGACAGCGAATACAAGTAACTTTTTGGAGATTAGTTACAAAGGGAAGCAGAGAAATGGGGCAGTAGCTGCAAAGTCTTGTCGGGTCAAGAAAGGACAGGTTTACCAAGATGGAAGATCTATCAGGTTCTCTACTCCCATTTCCCTTCATCTTCCCTCTGGCTGTCGACAAATCTGTGGCCTTTTTGACCTCCCTCTTCAAGCCCAAAAATATTTTTGCAAAGCTCTGATCCTCAGAGAGTTCTGAGCTGTAGGAGGGGAAAGCCACAAAGAGTCCTTTGTTCCTGCTTTCTGCCCTGTCACATCCCTCCCTGGGGCTATGAGCTTGGCTGCCTCCGTCAGGGGGTGAAATTCCACAGCAGAAAGAACAAAGTCAGATATCTCAAAATATCATCCTGCTCCATTTATTTCGGGCCCTTTAGCCACTTGGATGCCTTTCGCTAAACATGGGGCTGACTGCCTGCCTGCTGCTGGTCTAGCATGCCCGATTACTCTAAACTATTTATTTTCAAGGAGTCTGGCCAAAGCAATATTCCCTAAACTTTAAGCATTCTTGGATCACCATTATGATTTTGGCTATTTTCCCATACCTCATACAGTTTTTACTCCATGTTTTTACATAAAGCACTTTCCTTGAAATTTTGTTGTTATGGTGGTGGTAAAATTCGCCTAACATAAAACTCACTAAAGCGTACAATTCGGGGGCGCCTGGGTGGCTCAAGTGGGTTAAAGCCTCTGCCTTCGGTTCAGGTCATGATCCCAGGGTCCTGGGATTGAGCCCCGGATGGGGCTCTCTGCTCAGCAGGGAGCCTGCTTCCTCCTCTCTCTCTGTTTCTGTCTACTTGTGATCTCCATCTGTCAAATAAATAAAATCTTTTTTTTAAAAAAGCGTACAATTCAGTGGCTTTTAGAACATTCACAATGTTGTGCCACCATTACCAAACAGTTCCAAAACCTTTTTCATCACTCTAAAAGGGAACCCTTCACCTGCGAAGCAGTCCCTCCTTCCTTCCCACTCCCCCCAGTCCTTGGTAACCACCAGCCTGCTTCCTCTCTCTATGGATTTGCCTATTATGGATATTTTATTTAAACAGAATCATGTAGGGGTGTCCTGGCTCAGTAGGCTGAGCATCTGCCTTTGGCTCAGGTCATGATCCCAGAGTCCTGGGATCGAACCCCGCATTGGGCTCCCTCCTCAGTGGAGAGTCTGCTTCTCCCTCTCCCTCTGGCCCTCCCCATGTCCTGCTCATGTAGTCTTTAAAAAAGATAAAAATAAACAGAAACATGAAATTCATGATCCTTTGTGTCTAGCTTCTTTCACTTGTCTGGTTTCTCCACTAGTCCCTTCTCTTGGGTTTGATTTTTTTCTAGTCTATCATTTTGATTCCCTTCTCATTTCCTTTTCTGTGTATATTTTTTCTTATTTTATTTTAAAGATTTTATTTACTTATTTTTTATGATTTAGTTGAAATAGAGAGAAAGCAGAAGGGGGGAGGGGCAGAGTGAGAGGGAGAAGCAGACTCCCTGCTTGAGGGTGGTGGGGAGGCTCAATCCCAGGACCCCGAGATCATGATCTAAGCCAAAGGCAGCTGCTTAGCTGACTGAACCACTCAGATGCCCCAAGATTTTATTTTTATGTAGTCTCTACTCCCAATGCAGGGCTCAAACTCCTGAGATCAAGAGTCACTTGCTCTTCCAACTAAGCCCGCCAGGCCTCCCTGCTTTCCTAGTTGTTTTAAAAGGGGAATTTATTTCACCCTCATAACTATTTTAAGTACTTTAATCTATGTTAATGTAAATATATATTTATTAAAATACAAAAAAGCACTGCAAAGAAGAAATGTTTCTCAACTTTGTGTCTAACGACATGTTTTGTGTTGTTTTGCTGCTTGAATAAGGCCACAATTTCACACAAAGTAGTTGTTTAGTAATCCCTAGTTTACTCCTGAAACAAAATTGGGCTGAGGAAGGAGACCCACTTCTCTCACAACTGTCATATGGCCCTCAGGAGATGGGTCCCCCCCACCCCAGGTCTCAAGTTTCAGTGGATGCAGAAATGCACTGTCTCTATTCCAGGGAACAGGTTAGATATTGCAAGGACAAGCGTCATCACAAGTACAATACAATCCCCAAAGTACCTTATGTAATACCTCGTGGTATTACAACGGAGGTTGGGGAAACGGGCTCCCCACGTCCTGGGAAAGAACACTGATCCAGAAGGGATCTAAGAGGATATCAAAATCAGACACCTGCAACAAGGAAGGAGTGAAGCAACCAGCAGGTGACAGCCACATGTCAGCTCAGGAAACTGCTGGCTGGACAGAATGGAGGTCCAGGTGGTGGCCAAGTCTCTTTTTCAGAACACAGGATATCTGGATATTTAATGTGAAATCTCCGAATTCTTAAGTGTTGGCAACGAATGCAAAATTTTTAAGCAACGTGGGTGGAGCAAATCCTATCTGTGTACAGGTTTTGCCCTGGAGAGTGCTTGTTTGTACTCTGGGGGAGACTGCGGAGGAGAAAAAGGCCTGTAATAGAGAAGCGACTCCCCAAATACCACACAGCCAGATGGGAGCGGCTGCGCTCACGTTCGAGAAAGCCCAGTCAAACTTACTGACTCTGGACTGAGGCTGAAACCCCTCCCGCCCGCGCCGCGCCTCTAAGTCAGGGGGAGCCAGGAGCAAGGTCCCCGACCCCGTCCGCCTGCCCGCCTCACCGCACCCTCCATCACCGAGCGCCCAAGCTTTCGTGGCCTCCCCGACTTGGTCCTCGGTCGCTTGGGACAAGAATGCCACTGCCTGCCCCCCGCTAGCCGTCCTCGCGCCCCTTCCCCTCTCCGCGGCAAGTCCGGCTCCCACCCCGCGTTCCCAGCGAGCGGGCCGCGCACACACCTTCCGCCAAGGCCCTATCGCGCCCTCCCGAGCCCGGCTGCTGGCTGAGTCACCCGTCCACAGTGGTCACTAAGTGACGGTCCCTACCCGCGAGTCGGGAGCCCTGGACAGGCCCACTCCGCCGCCCACAAACGCGCCCCGACAAGGAGCGAAGTGCGCGTGCGCCGCCCGGGCTTTATTGAGTCACCGCGACTCCAGAGCGCGCGGCTCGATCATGAGCACGCCGCTCGCGCCTTCGCGTTTGCGCATCTTCCTCTGCCAGGCGCGCGCCGCCGTCGTCGGGTTGGCCTCGGTGTCCAGCTTCTTCTCCAGCAGGTGCATGCGCGCCGTGGTCTCAGTCAGCATGTCCATGAGCAGTTCCTGCTGCAACTTCAAGTAGTTGTTCTCCTCCAGCAACACCTGGCTCTTGACCCGCGGCACCGGCGGCTCCCAGCCCGAGATGGTCGGCGGGGACAGCGGCGGCCCCGACCGCAGGGGGAGCCCCTCGGCTGTCCAGCGGCCGCCGCGGAACACGAAGTCCTCGTCGCTCAGGCGCGTGCGCGGCGCGCCGTAGCTGAGGCCCAGCTCGGCCTGGCGCGTCCGGTGGTCCAGCAGGTAGAAGGTGGACATGGAGGAGATGCGGCGCAGCGGCGGGCGCCGCGGCGAGAAGCGCCGCGAGAAGTGGTCGACCCAGAACTGCCTCAACTGCTCCCACAGGCGGCCGGCGTGGCCCGACGCCGGGCACCTGAAGGCCTCCAGGGCGAGGGCCGAGTGGGTCTTGTCGGGCGTGTGGGTGCCCGGTGCCGAGCCTCGAGGACGTGGGCGACCGGGGCTACGCCTTTGCCTCCGGAGCCCCGGTGTCCAGAATGATGAAGGCGAGCCAGGGGCACTGCTGGGGAGCAAGAGTCCGGGTGAGCAGCCTGCTTGGACAGGCTGTCCCGTTAAACCGCGAGGACCGGTGGACAGAGCTTAGCTTTGAGGCTGGCGCCAGGGCTAACCAGCTGCTGGTCGCCGAGGAGCCCATCCCTGCACGCTGCCGCTGACAGTAGTCTCTGAAACGACCTTTCCCAAAGACCGCTCTAGGTCAGGCGCAGGGGATGCATTTGCCGATGAAATACCGCATCCCTGTCTTTCTGAGCCTTGGGCGGGCTGCTGGAAGGGATCATGGGCCCAGGAGAGGGGAACGGTGGAGCCGCTACTTAAAAGTTGAGCTGGGCTTTGCTGGATGAATTGGGGGTAGATAAGAGAGAGAGCCTCTAGGCAGAGTTAAGAGCCAGGCACAGCCTGAATGTCCCAGATGTGAGGAAGAGCTTGGAGTAGGGCTGGTGTGTGGGACTCGGCTGGGAATACAAGAGGAAGCCAGAAAGGAGACCAGGGCCTAAACTTCTTCCTGGTACTACTGCATTACAAAGCCAGGGCTAGCTCTGGATTCAGAAAAGTATTCAGTAGGGTGTGTAAAATAGCCAGTGGCATAACGGGCTGTGGGCCAGGCCTGGTCTGGGCAGGGGTTCTTAGTCTGTGCCCACCCTCAAGATGCTACTGGTCCATCTTGGAACGCAGATGTGTGTGTAGATGACAGTAGTTCAGTATATTCAGTGACATCCTAGGGGCACGTGCCACGGACTAGGACCTATGCTTAGGATTCGAGGTCATAGCGGTTAGGTAGACTACTTGTGACTTTTCTCACAAGCAGACTACATCCTCAAGGAAGCTGAAGGACAGATAACAAGTCTCATTCTTTGTCTCCCCCAAAACCTGAAAGTGCTGACTCTATTCTATGGGAAAAGGACTATATGTTTTCTCTTAAATTCCTCTTCTCCCCCTTGGAAGGTGAAAAGGGAAAGAACACTCTGTCATGCCTACATCAATCCAGTACATGCATATTCCTCTTGCACATAGCTAGGCTGAGCGGATGGTACTATCCTCTAGATCTGACTCAGGGCGACATCTCTGAAACCCCAAAGAGGACCCAAGAGGGTGCAGCCAGGCCCACACTTAATGCTGCATCTTCCTAGAGGGCCTTTTCCCAGGAAACCTCACTGCAAGTTGTGCCTCACCTGGAGGGTGTGTTGGAGGTGCTGAGCTGCTGTCCCAGGCCTGGCCCCATCTCTGAACCCCTCAGCTGCTGTCCACCAGCTATGACTCACAATGCCTCCAGGCCGGACTAGCCCAGGACAGAAGGGGTGCCCAGAGTCTAGCTATATAACAGACTCTGGGCTCTTGGCTCTCCCCATATTCATTCAACACATGTATTGAGTGTTTGCTGTGTTCCAGGTACAGCTCTGCAGAGCCGGAGATAGGAATTTGATGTAAGGGAACGAACAAGGTAGTCCTTCCTGAAGTTTACCTATGGTGTCATGGGTCAGGTTCCCAGAAGCAGAGCCAGAGATGAGAATTCTTGTTTGAATGATTTACTGAGGAAGTGCTCTCAGGAGAAGGGTGTGAGGGAAACAGGACAGGGCAGGGAAGCAAACAAAAACAAGCAGGAGAGTGGCCTCAAGTGGAAACTAGCTTCAGACCCGTCCCACAGGTAACTGCATAAATTACACCACAGAGTTAGGCCCCCTTGCCACAGGAATGCCAGTCTTTCTCACCCTCTCCCTTCTCTCCCGCCCCTCATTTCCCATCAGTTACTGGCAGGGCAGCTGTGAGCTGTCAGCCAACACTTAAGGCACACATGGGGTGGGTGCATCACCAGGAAAAGGGATCTGGGGCCCCAAATGCATAGAGGAGGGAGGAAGAGAATAAATAATAAAAATAAATAGAAGGGGCCCCTGAATGACTCAGTAGGTTAAGTTTCTGCCTTTGGCTCAGGCTCTGGGTTCTGGTATCAAGCCCTCTGTCTTGGGCTCTCTGCTCAGCGGGAAGTCTGCTTCTCCCTCTGCCTCTGCCCCCCCCCCCAACCAGGCTCTTCTCTCTCAAATGAATAAATGAAGTCTTTAAAAAATGAAAATAAATAAATGAATAAGAATTTGACTTTGATATGCACAATAAAAAAATAGAGAAATACAGAAAGTGACGTTAGCACGTGGTATTCAGTGAAGGTGCCTGACATTCAGGCTAAGACCTAAAAGATGAGGGGACTACAGGAAGATTGGGGGCTGGAGGCAGAAATGAAATGGGCCTGTTGGAGGGACAAGCATCTTGTGTTGAGAAAATGGGAGGTAAGGTAGTCAACCGTACCTGCCAAGCACATCAGGTTGACTGCCGTCACCTCAGCTTGGCATTCCTGACCCCAGAGGCCTTCCCAGTTAATTCAGCATGGCCCTCCAAGGAGTCAGAGCCAGCTCCAGAGGAGCTCATATCCCAGAGTAGAGCCAGGTGTATTTGTAGCACCGCCTCCTGGGAAATTTTTTTCTTGAACAGTCTTTGAAGGTATCACTGACTGGGGCACCTGGCTGGCTCAGTCAGAAGAGCATGCAGCTCAGTTTTGGAGTTGTGAGTTCAAGCCCCATGTTGGGTGTAGAGATTACTTGAAAAAATAAAATCTTCTTTTTAAGAGTTTATTTATTTGAGAGAAAGGGAGAGCTCAAGTGATCTAGCAATGGGGAGGGGCTAGGACAAGCAGACTCTGCTCTGAACACGGAGTCCAACACAGGGCTCGATCCCATGACCCTGAGATGACAACCTGAGCCGAAACCAAGAGTCGGAGGCCCAACCAACTGAGCCACACAGGTGCCCCCCCAAAAGTAAAACCTGAAAAAAAAAAAGCTTTTTTTTGAAATTTAATTGACAATAAATAACCTTTATTTCAAAGAAATTTTAAGTAACGGGTGTCTGGGTGGCTCAGTTGGTTGGGTGGCTGCCTTTGGCTCAGGTCATGATCTCAGGGTTCTGGGATCAAGCCCCATGTCAGGCTCCTTGCTCAATGGGGAGCCTGCTTCTCCCTCACCCTCTGCCTGCCGCTCTGCCTACTTGTGCTCTCTCTCTCAAATAAATTAAAAAAAAATTTTTTTAAGATTTTTTATAATTTATTTATTTCACAAACAGAGATCACAAGTAGGCAGAGAGACAGGCCAGGAGAGAAGGGGAAGCAGGCTCCCTGCTGAGCAGAAAGCCTGATGCAGGGCTCAATCCCAGGATCCTGAGATCATGACCTGAGCCGAAGGCAGAGGCTTAACCCACTGAACCACTCAGGTGCCCCTAAAAAAATTTTTTTTAAGTAAGCTGTATGCCCAGTGTGGGGCTTGAACTCATGACCTTGAGATCAAGAGTCACAGGCTGTACCATGCTTTACCAACTGAGCCAGCCAGGCACCCCATAAACAACGTATTTATAATGTACAATTTGGTATGTCTTTATAACTTGATGTATGAAATCATCACCCAAATCAAGATAATGAAGACATCCATTACCTTCAGAAATTTTCTCAGCACTCATCACTACATAATCGTTCACATTTTCTAGAGTTTTATATAAATAGAATAATTTAGTATGTCCTTTTTTGGGCACCAACTTCTTGCAGCATAATTGAGATTTATCCATGGGGTCGCATTCATCAACAATTTCCTATTGATGAGTATTTCCCATTGTATGGAAATACCACAGTTTGTTTTCACATCTATTTGATGGAAAATTGGGTTGTTTCCAGTTTGGGGGCTTTTACGAATAAAGCTATTATGAATGTATATGTAGAAGTCTTGGTGCAACCATATGCTTTCATTTCTCTTGAATAAACACTTAGGAGTGGAATGGCTCGGTCATATGGTAGGTGTGTGTTTACCTCTTTACGAAGCTACTGGACTTTTTCTAGAATGGTTGCACCCCATTCCCAACAGCCATGAAAGAGTTTCTGTTCTTCCCCATACTTGTCAACACTTTGTATGGTAAACCTTTTTAATTCTTGTCATTCTAGTGGGTATGTCTAAATTGTGGTTTTAATATTTCCATAATGTCTAATGATGTTGGCAGTGTCTTCATGTGCTTCTTTGTAACCCTCTTTGTAAATTAAGGTCTTTTGCCATTCTTTCTTCTTTTTTTAACTGGATTGTTTGTCTTTTTGAGTATAAGGAGTTCTGTAATGCTAGATAAAAGTGGATATGTGAATATGATGGATATGTTTTGCAAATATTTTCTCCCATTCTGTGGATTTGCCTTTCAAAGTGAAAGTTCTTAATTTTGATAAAATCCAGCTTATCAATTTTCTGTCCTGTAGTTCCTGCTTTTTGTTTCATATCTAGGAAGTCTTTGCCAAATCTAAGGTCACTAAGATTTTCTCCTCTGTTTTCTTCTAGAAGTTACATGGTTTTAGCTTTACATTTAGGTCTGTGCTACATTTTGAGTTAATTTTTAAAAAATATTTTATTTATGGGAAAGAGAGAGAGGGCATGAGTGGGTGGGGGGGCGGGTCAGAGGCAGAGGGAGAAGCAGACTCCCCAGCTCACTGACATGGGGATGGATCCCAGGACCCTGAGATCATGACTGGATCTGAAGGCAGACACTTAACCAACTGAGCCACCCCAGTGCCCCTTGAGTTAATTTTTTGAAGATTAACTTCTTAATCTTCAAGTGGGAAGGGCAGAGGGAAAGGGAGAGAGAATCAGAAGCATACTCCGCACTGAACTCGGAGCCTGACATGGGGCTTGATCTCATGGCCCTGAGATCACGACCTGAGCTGAAAGCAAGAGTTGGATGCTTAACTGACTACACTAACCAGTTGCCCCTTTTTGAGTTAATTTTTGTTTATAGTGTGAGGTGAGAGTTGATTTTTTTTTTCATACAGATGTCCATTTGACCTCACACCAATTATAGTAAAGACTAGGCTTTCTCCCGAGTTGCAGTCATTCTTCCTGTGACTGTCCAACTATTTCTGGGCTCTCTATTCCTTTCCATTAATCTCTTTATCTATTCTTTTTTTTTTTAAGATTTATTTATTGATTTGACAGATCACAAGTAAGCAGAGAGGCAGGCAGAGATGGGGGCAGGGGGAAGCAGGCTCCCCGCTGAGCAGAGAGCCTGATGTGGGGCTTGATTCCAGGACCCCGAGATCATGACCTGAGCTGAAAGCAGAGGCTTTAACCCACTGAGCCACCCAGGCGCCCCTCTCTTTATCTATTCTTGCACCACATCACATTTTTTAAATTATTGTAGCTTACAGAATGTCTTAATATCTGGTAGTATGTATCTTCCAGCAATATTCTTTTTTTTAAAGATTTTTAAATATTTATTTGACAGAGATCACAAGTAGGCAGAGAGGCAGGCAGAGAGAGAGAGGGAGAGAGGAGGAAGCAGGCTCCCCGCTGAGCGGAGAGCCTGATGTGGGGCTCGATCCCAGAACCCTGGGACCATGACCTGAGCCGAAGGCAGAGGCTTTAACCCACTGAGCCACCCAGGCACCCCCCAGCAATATTCTTTAAAGATTGCTTTGGTTTTCTAGGTCCTTTGCAATTCCATATAATTGAATTTCCATCCTAATTTTAGAATTTGAATGTCAGTTTCCACAAATAAACCCTCATGTTCACTGTTCAAAGCTCTCTCTTCCTATCACGAGGACAATTGAAAGCTCAGATCAGCCCTCAGAAGGTTGTCTGATGGACGTGGAATCAGAGCCCAGGAATATTTTAATCGAGCCAGTGATTCATTCTGTCTCTCTCTCCAAATTGTGTCTCTGTTATTAAGGCTCATTTTCATTAACAATCTCAGTATTTCAGATGGGTAATGCGTGGCCATAGTCTATAGTAACTTTCAATTTCCCTTATTTCCTTATGAAAAAGGGAAAGCTATAAAGCCCAAGGAAGTCTTTGTTTGATTATTTGAATAGGAGAAATTTAGAGAGATGAAGAACAATTAACACCTTAACCCCTTTTACAAGAAGACCTTGGTTCTGAGGAATTAAGAAACTTTGTGTTGATGTCAACACTGAAAAGGCGAGACCTCGAGCCCTTCAGGAAAGGAGTGCCAGGTACTGACAGGTCTGAGTTTAAGGACATAAAGTTCCTTCTAAGGGGACAGAGGAAAGGAGAAGAGGATGTAAAAATGAATTTTCACTTCCTCACACCACAGGCAAATGCCATAGGAACTGTGAATGTCAGTGATCCCTTCTCTTGGCAACCAAGATGAATACTGCCAAAGCCAAGGAAGCAAACTTGTTTGCCCCATGGCTATTTC